AGTGGCAGTATACAGTTTACAGTGTTGGAGTGGCAGCATACAGTTTACAGTGTTGGAGTGGCAGCATACAGTTTACAGTGTTGGAGTGGCAGCATACAGTTTACAGTGTTGGAGCGGCAGCATACAGTTTACAGTGTTGGAGCGGCAGCATACAGTTTACAGTGTTGGAGCGGCAGCATACAGTTTACAGTGTTGGAGTGGCAGCATACAGTTTACAGTGTTGGAGCGGCAGCATACAGTTTACAGTGTTGGAGTGGCAGCATACAGTTTACAGTGTTGGAGTGGCAGTATACAGTTTACAGTGTTGGAGTGGCAGCATACAGTTTACAGTGTTGGAGTGGCAGCATACAGTTTACAGTGTTGGAGCGGCAGCATACAGTTTACAGTGTTGGAGCGGCAGCATACAGTTTACAGTGTTGGAGCACATGCACAGCATTTTCTGGTGTTAAGATACAGGGACCTATCCCTTGCCTTTCCTACATCAAAAACATGAACATTTGTTGGTGAAGTTTGTTGTGCCTTGTCCTAAAAATGGTCCTGTCTGTTTCTCTGATGATTTTTTTTCTCTTTTCTTACACTCTCATTCTTATGTTAATCTATACAGTTCTTGTCAATTAACTTCATTTGTTATCACACCCAGTCACCTAATCCGACAGAGCCATCTGATGATAAATTTTCACTGATACACAATTTTCACATAAACATTTCATTCTTAATCTTCATGATGATGCCGACTTACCTCCTGTTTTACTCTGTGTGCGTCTAGGACCCTGACAGTCGTCCACGAAGACATCGGCATCGCTCGTCTCACAATCAAACTCGTCAATATCATCCACTACCCAGGGGTTGGCCAGGCAGCTTCCAGGTTCAGCTTGTGAAGTCTTTGGTTTGGTTGGTTTTTCCAGAGCAACACTGGGTGCCGGGGTCCTGGCCAAGCTGATCCGGGGCTGAAATAAGTCAACAACGTCACTGTTTCACATGCAGCTAGTAACATAAGCAATGCAGAGAAAGTAATCTTATTCTTCTTCAGGTATCAACTGTTGCAACACATCATTTTTGCATGGGTCAAGGTGGTCCATAATTTTGGCATGGGTCAAGGTGGTCCATTATTCTGGCATGGGTCAAGGTGGTCCATTATTCTGGCATGGGTCAAGGTGGTCCATTATTCTGGCATGGGTCAAGGTGGTCCATTATTCTGGCATGGGTCAAGGTGGTCCATTATTCTGGCATGTGTCAAGGTGGGCCATCATTCTGACTTGGGCCAAGGAAGGTCATCATTCTGGCATGAGTCAAGGTGGTCCATCATTCTGGCATGGGTCAAGGTGGTCCATCATTCTGGCATGGGTCAAGGTGGTCCATCATTCTGGCATGGGTCAAGGTGGTCCATTATTCTGGCATGGGCCAAGGAAGGTCATCATCTGGCATGAGTCAAGGAAGGTCATCCTCTGGCATGGGTCAAGGGAAGGGCATCATCTGGCATGGGTCAAGGGAAGGGCATCATCTGGCATGGGTCAAGGAAGGTCATCATCTGGCATGAGTCAAGGAAGGTCATCCTCTGGCATGGGTCAAGGGAAGGTCAGCATCTGGCATGGGTCAAGGGAAGGGCATCATCTGGCATGGGTCAAGGAAGGTCATCATCTGGCATGAGTCAAGGAAGGTCATCCTCTGGCATGGGTCAAGGGAAGGTCAGCATCTGGCATGGGTCAAGGGAAGGTCAGCATCTGGCATGGGTCAAGGAAGGTCTTTATCTGGCATGGGCCAAAGAAGGTCATCATTTTGGCATGGGTCAAGGAAGGTCATCATCTGGCATGGGTCAAGGAAGGTCATCATCTGGTATGGGTCAAGGTGGTTTTTTTTTGGCAGACTGCTCCTGCGGACATGATCTTTATTCTATTTAGTAATTTACTGAAGTTGTGCTCTGGGCTAGTCTTTCCTATTTGGTGGTTCATATATTCTGAAGCAGAACAATTTAAGAAGCTGCCAATATCATTTACAATCAATCAATCAATCAGGTGTCATATCCGCACTAAAGGTTGGCTGCAATGATGGATCTCCAACAAACTCTATCTCTTGTTTCGGTAGTAAACTTTCACAGACTGCTGTTCCTCCATCTCTTGATTTTGTTCTCCCACTTGTATCAGTGTCTACCTTTTGCCCTTGACCTTTCCCTCCAGTATGGTTTTTAAAAGCATATTATATCTTTTGTGGCTAAAATATTGCAACTCACTTTTTTTATGTCTTTCAGTAAGTCTTTTTTCATTCACAGTCTTTTTGTAATAAGTTCTTCAATATGACTATTTAAAAAGTATGGAGACCACGGTAAACTTTTGAAAATAAGAGCAATCCCAAAGTGTTAGCTAAATGGGAACCATTGAGTGGACTACAGTGCTTTACAGCTGCATCTGATAGATCCTTTGAGACCACTTTGTACGTTAGTCCCCAGTGTCCTGTTCTCTATTTGAAGATGCTGTTATGCTCGTTTCAGCCTGATTTTGTTGACTGTATCATTCTCTTCTTTGTAACTCTCATTCTGCTTTCTCCAGTCATCATCATAGCTTCCTGGTGTTGGTTCCGGAGCCCCAATTTAGGTGAAAAGCAAAAACAGACTAACTGCTCCATATCAAGACTAATAAACACAAAGAGACGTCTCATCCTCTCATGCGCGAGACCCAGGTTCGACTCCTCGGTAAGGCTGGGGATTTTTTTTCTGTCGGGGGCAAAATAAAATCCTCACCTGCACAGTCCATGGCGACAGCACTAGCTATGTGGTTGTAAATCCTCAGACTCAATGACCCCCCTGCCTACACCGCAAAAGTGGTAAAAAAAAGGCAGTAATTGGCAGCTGATGTCTCATCCAAGCATATTCACACCCACACTGCGCTAACAGTGCCAGACATGGTCACTCACAACAAATCAGAAAATAGAAATTAGTAACCATGGGGATTGTCTGAGAAAGACCACATGAGTGACAAGAAGAGATACAATCAGAAGTGAAGTCATAAGAGGAAAAGTCAGCACAGAACCAGTACTAAAATTACCTACAAAGACAGTTATGGTTTGCTTACTTAGAAAGAAAATCCCTGTGATGCCATACTGTACAAGGCACACACCAGAAGAGGAAAGAGATGTAGAGCATGAGGCAGACCAAGAACAAGATGGAAAGGAAGTATCAGAGAAACTTTACAACAGCCCTATGTGTCTATGGCCAAAGCAGCCACACACACACACAAAATGAACGAACAAATAAAGAAATGAACTTTACTTCAAAACGGTTGCAATTAGGGCACCCAGTCCTGTCTTACATTTGACCATTTTGAAATTTCTTCTTTTATACGGAAACTCATTTTAGATATCAAGAATATTATGTCCATTTTTGAATACTTATTGCATGAACGTAGAGCAAAAATACAGAAGCATGGTTGACAAATTCCTGCCTTTAAAATATATATGTAAAATACAGACACAATGCAGACACACACACAAGGCAGACACACATGCAAGATATTTTCGGGGGTGGGGGGGGGGGGGGGCGGGTAGATAGGCTGCATGCAGTCATGGGACCTAGGCTGCACTCTCTCGTGGGATGTAGGTGGGTTGGGGTTAGGGCCAGTTCTAGATGTTTTTGGGTCATTAAAAGCATCAGAAAGCCAGGAAACCCAGTCTTACTATTCTCTAAAATGTTGGACTGTCCTGTGATGTCATCTGGGGTAGGATACTAATAAAGAACCATTTTCTGGAATGTCCAAACAATTGAATTTTCCATCTTTTTAATATTATTATCAGAGTTGGGCATCTGTGGCTTAGGCATTGCGCATGAGCTTCGTAATACCGGGGTGCAGTGTTTGATTTCAGCTGCGGGCCTTGCACTGGTTTCGACAGTGGCATCGAAAAGCAGATCGTCCAGAAAGCAATGGCAAACTATTTGAAGTAAATTTGCCTAGAAAAATCACAACAGCAAAAAAAAAAAAAATGTCCTGTAAAGGATATGCAACTAATTTAACCACTGGTGAGAAAGACATGCACAAATAAATATGGTATCTGGGACACCAAAGCACAGATGTTTCATATGCTATGAATTCCCATGTTTACAAGAAGCTCTTTATTTTCAACTTCATTTTATTCCCAGCAGATAATGACTTCAATATCAAGACTTTACAGGACACTGCAGAACCCACACCAGCATATTTTGGCTGTGACGGTACGTTCCCTAGTTTTCTACTGTTTTCCAAATGGTTGATGTTATGTTACATTTCTGCAACTGCCTCGAAGTCGGAGAACATTTGCCTGTGAGGCAGGGAACGGCAAAAGCCAGTAATACGGTTATACATGCAAAACTCAGGTCCAGGTAAAAGCCAGAAGTCCAAATGGACGATTTACCGGGACCTTTTGCCGGGATTCACAGCCGGTGAACGAAGAAGAAGAAGATTATCACAACTGACATCACTGTACGCAGAGCACTGCCAAGTGTGCTCAGTCCTCTCATGCAGCAGCCACTGCAGGGTGCCTCTACTGATTGTTCCCATGAGGAGTTATAATGTCTCCCATCTCGGCCTTGAAGGCAGCACAGACGTGCTTCACCATGCTTTACTTCCAGGTAATGACATTGTGTGGGAGTCACCGTGGCCTAGTGGCTAGACGCGCCGTGGATCAGAAGGTCGTGGGTTCGCTCCCTGGCAGGGCCGGACTTGTCTTCAAATATGACCTTGTCTCCCAGGTAGACCCAGCCTTGAGAGGGTACCGGGTGCAGTCCCGGGAAGTAAAAGAGGCCGGCGTGATGCTGACCACATCACCCATCTTGTGCCGTTGGTCTTTAAAATGTAGCTCTAGCCCTATATGCCCTATACGCTTAAAGGCTTGGAAAAGGGTCCTTTACTTTACTTTTTTTTTTTACATCACATTGTGTTAGTGACAGAGATTTGTCATTGTCCATTGATACTCCACACCACTGTTGAAATGAACATAAAGTGGGCTCCTGGCAAACGTAGCTGTAATTAAACAACACATTTCAGAATTGTTAAGGCATTTTCACAACATTTATGATGACACACTTGCTGGCATATCGGGTAGAGATGATCTAACTTTCTAGTCAACATGGTTTTGATAAAATCTCTTACTGTTTATCTTGGCTAGTTGAACTGCTTGACTGAGTTTTGCAGCTGGGGTTTGAATCTGGGTAGAATATAACATACTCCTGAGTTTAAAAAAAAACAAAAACATTATCTTTCCCTCTTCCCACCCATACACCAATTAATCCATCTACCATCCACGCATCCATCCACCCACCCTACTATCTTCACAGATAGTTGCAGAAAGGTCCTAAAACCACAAAGACCCACTTTATGAAACTATCCCTTATTTTACTTTCTTGGAAACACAAGCAAGCAACTTCGAAAAACAAAATCAAATTAAGCAAAATGTTATATGAAATAATACTGCCAATTCAGCAAATGTTTACAGCAAAATCTTAACCTGAACCAGAAATCAACTAAACATTTTTTGTCTAGGGGGGAAAACAGAAAAGAAGGTTCCAGTACTCACCATAGGGTGTCTTCAAAAACGAGTGCTGAGATTCACCACAAAATGTCTAATACAGTAGTACTGACAAAAATAACGCTTAAAAAAGGTGTTGGTAGAAAGTACCATTGCCTACCATAAAAATGGGTAGAAAGCATTTGGAAGTCGCAGTTAACCACCATCATCTGGATCTACACACCCAGGCATGCAGGTGTAAAAAGTAATGAAAGAGCTGACGACATTTTAAGTAATGAACCAATGCAAACAGGAAGAAGCATGGACAAAGCTGACATCAACAATGCTGTACAGAACAGCTTGGGGGGTTAATAAGGAATCTCTGATGCTAACACGACTGTGTGACCTGGCAGTAAAGCTTGATAAAGCATGTGTAAACTGTCTTTGATGTCATGAAAGGAGATACTATAACCAACTTCTCATGGGAGCAATAAATAGAGCTAGCTACCTTGGAGTTGCTACTACATCGAAGGACTCAGACTACATGAGAATGCCTAGTATGCAGTGAGGCCGACTCAGATAACATAAGATAACTAGATAGTTAAACAATAAAAAAAAAGCCTTGCAACTAAGATTTGTAAATGGAAAACAACAACAAAATACCTTCTGATTGCGAGGTATCCTGGTGGACTCAAACCAGCCATCAGAGTACACAGGCTCATACTCAACACAGATGTCCAGTCCAACTGTGTAGTATAGTATAAGTTGTATAGTTTACCATATTATAATAGCATTTAACATAGCACAGTACAGAATATTATAGTGTTATAGAAAAATGCCTTATAGTACAGTATTTTACAGCACCATAGTATGTAGTATATTACAGTACAGTACAGCAGAGTAAAGTATACATCATTCTTTTTTTTTTTCACCACGTTCATTGGCTGTAAACACTGATAGAAAGTTCTGGTTGCTTGCCCACTTGTGGTCTTTGGTCTTGTTTAACAACTGGAGTTGTGCACACACACCCATTTTATCTTCTCTTCCACCGTGTACCTCATCGAAGTGTCGGGGGGAGATGTAATGTTTGTTGATGATGAGCTCTGTCAAGAGCACTATTAAGACTGATGTTCATTTCTGTAAGGCTGTTCTTAATGCCATCACTCCATATTTTGCGAGGTCTTCCACTCGTTCTATACCCATTGTATAATTAGTATGCTGACTGTTGGTTCCCTGCCTCTCAGGCAGATGGACTGACATTGAAGGAAACATCCCTAATTAGTCAACTTGTATTAAATACTATTTATGGGTAGTGAGGCAGCAAATTTGTCTGAATATAAGCAGGGAAGGAGAGGGAGAAGCAACAACGAAATTCATAATCTGTTTAAATCACCACTGATCACTGGCATCATGAGATCTAAAAGACTGAAATGGCTGGGGCATATTGAGACAATTTCAGATGACAGAGAGGTAAAAACTGTATACACATGGGAGATGAATGATCGTTCACCACGAGGCAGAACAAGAAAACGATGGAGAGATAATGTCCACAGAGACCTGCAAGCACTGAAGTCACCAACTGGAAAGAGAGGGCCAATCAGAGAGATGAGTGGAAGCGAGTGATATCTGCTGCAATGAACCTCAAGGGCTGGGAATGCTGAAAAAGAAGAAGATAATGGGGTCCATGAACCCACAAGGGGAGTACACCACGTGTAATATAAAATAACCTAGTGTAGACTGTATATCACAGTTTAAAGCAAAGTGTCCTGGGCATATAGGGCTAGACCTGTATTTGATAGACTAATCAGCACTTGGTAGATGATGTGGCCAACATAATGCTGGCTACTTTTACTCTCCAGCTAAAGACCTCGTGTGCTGGGTCAACCTGGAGCCAAGGTAAATTTTTTTAAAAGCTCTGGTTCTGTCAAGTCCTGAACCCATGACCATCAAATCCCCAGGAAAGTCTGGTAGTCTGGTGTCCAGCCCCTACACCATGTTGGCTATCTCATCACAGTGTAGTTTTCAAAATCATGTATAGTATATCGCAGTACTATATGGCACAATATATTACAGAATATCATAGTCACAACTTAGTATAGTATATCACAGTATCATATAGCACAACATGGTATAGTATATCAATATCATATAGCACAACAAAGAATAGTATACCACAGTATCATACAGCACAACATGGTATAGTATTTCACAGTGTAATATAGCACAACATAGCATAGCACATCATAATATAGCTTATATCCAATTAATCTGACACAACTGTCATGGAACTACTTGGCGTCAAGATGAAACAAACAACAGAGAACATTCTCAACGTTGAATGAACACTCCATTTCAACAGAAATTCTGGACCGACTGACCCCAGTCTTGACTCAGCAAGCTGATGTTGAGCTTTGTTCCTGTGGGTGACCTCTTCACCTCCACTGTCTGATTCCAGTGCCCCTGTCTCAGGATTGCTGCATCGCTACAGACAGGACCAGTAGTGTAAGGGTTACAGTTTTAACTGATGCTGGCAAGCTAACAAATGTTCATAAAAAATTAGTTCAGTATATTTTACAGGAGGATGCAGAACCAACCTCAGCATATTTTGGCTGTTGTGGTTTTTCTAGGCAAATTTTAAGTTCAGTAGTTCATCACTGCTTCGTAAACAGTTATTGTCAAAACCAACGCAAGACCAAAAAAATAAAAATAAAAGAAAAAATAGCCTCCGCAGTTGGGATCGAACCCGGCACCCTGTCATTAAGAAGCATGTTCACAATGCCTAGGCCACAGGGGCCGAATAAATATGTTAATAGTAGGGACAAATGATAGTAAACATGAAATTATATAAACAGGTAATTCCACTAAAAGATGTTTTGAGGTGTGAAGTGTGAGGCCTTAACATAAAGCAGGCTATGACATATGGAGTAGGGTAACAGTTCCGGTACTCTCTCACAGTGGGTTACAGGGACCCATTTTGAAGAAAAACAGAGCAGACTCACTGCCCCCACACCCCCAAAGCATGTCATAAAAGTAGACAATTAGGGGTTTTTCTTTCGGAGTTACAGTGAATCAGTTTGAGAGGCGAGGAACCAAACTCTGCTTAGAAATAAGCCAGATCTGTAAAACCAAGGTGCATGCAAAACTCAAGTTCTTGAACAAGATTAAACAGTCTGCTTAGAAATAAGCCAGATCTGTAAAACCAAGGTGCATGCAAAACTCAAGTTCTTGAACAAGATTAAACAGTCTGCTTAGAAATAAGCCAGATCTGTAAAACCAAGGTGCATGCAAAACTCAAGTTCTTGAACAAGATTAAACAGTCTGCTTAGAAATAAGCCAGATCTGTAAAACCAAGGTGCATGCAAAACTCAAGTTCTTGAACAAGATTAAACAGTCTGCTTAGAAATAAGCCAGATCTGTAAAACCAAGGTGCATGCAAAACTCAAGTTCATGAACAAGATTAAACAGTCTGCTTAGAAATAAGCCAGGTCTGTAAAACCAAGGTGCATGCAAAACTCAAGTTCTTAAACAAGATTAAACAGTCTGCTTAGAAATAAGCCAGATCTGTAAAACCAAGGTGCATGCAAAACTTAAGTTCTTGAACAAGATTAAACAGTCTGCTTAGAAATAAGCCAGATCTGTAAAACCAAGGTGCATGCAAAACTCAAGTTCTTAAACAAGATTAAACAGTCTGCTTAGAAATAAGCCAGATCTGTAAAACCAAGGTGCATGCAAAACTTAAGTTCTTGAACAAGATTAAACAGTCTGCTTAGAAATAAGCCAGATCTGTAAAACCAAGGTGCATGCAAAACTCAAGTTCTTAAACAAGATTAAACAGTCTGCTTAGAAATAAGCCAGATCTGTAAAACCAAGGTGCATGCAAAACTTAAGTTCTTGAACAAGATTAAACAGTCTGCTTAGAAATAAGCCAGATCTGTAAAACCAAGGTGCAAGCAAAACTCAAGTTTTTGAACAAGATTAAACAGTCTGCTTACAAATAAGCCAGATCTGTAAAACCAAGGTGCATGCAAAACTCAGGTTCTGGAACAAGATTAAAGTCTAGGAGTGGATGAACAACCAGAATTTTCCTTTGGAGTTTATAGCCGGGGAACATGAATCAGAAGAAAAAGTTCCCTCCCCCACCATCCTCCCTGCCCAGATCTTCCCAGAAAATTCTGGAAATTACCCGCTGCTTATTTTTATATGGCTACGTTTACCCAGAGCCCTTTGTTGCCACCGTTTTCTTTTTCCAGATGATAGCATTGTACTGTTAGTTGGTTAATTAACAAGTTATCCTCATTGCACAAGTCCATAAGCACTCTGATCCCATCTTCAGTATATCCCTCAGCATTTGGATACTGATATGTGTTGGTTTACTATTCTTCTTTGGCTACGTGCAGTGTCCATGTCTGGTGATAATCTTTTGACCTGAAGATGTTGTAGTCTTTTGAGTGTTGCCAATTCAACGTCATCTCCTCAATCATCTTCTTGTGCTGCCTCCTTGAGAGCACTGAGAATGTCGGCCCAGTCATTGCTTTTCCTGTACCAACCATGGCCCAGTTAGCAAACCAATCCGCTCCTTCATTCCTTCTTACCCCCAGAGTGCCCTGGCACAAAAAATGAAACTAATTCCTTTCAAACAAGATTTCCTCAGTGACTCCAATCATTTTCTTCGAATCCATCCTGTCTCTATCTTCTTAAGCATGCTCATGGAATCATTAGAAAACATGCATAGTCTCTAGCCACATCATTGCTTTTGTTATCACCATCACTTCCATGGTCAGACTACAGTGCTACAGAGAGGCAGGAGAATCCCAGCTCTTGGCGATGGTGAGTGACAAGCAAGACCCGATCATCTTTGGAAATCTTCAATAATCAGAGCAAGAGATTTCAGGACTACTTGCCATTGCAAGTAATTACTGTGCTTGTTCTCAGATGCTCAGCTCTTGACCTTTCTGCAATCATTTTCTCATTTATCTCCCATTCTCTCCTTATTTTCCCCCTCCAAGTAACATGGTCCAAGGCATTCAATTCCTATAAATCAACCTCAATACCTATATCATTCATGTACCACTTTCACATATCTTGTTTATCACAGCAAAGACTAACATCGACATCTTCTACCCATCTGTAATTGAGCCACTGAGGTGTAGCAGCTAGATGCTCCCAGTGGATCTGAAGGTCATGGGTTCAAATCCAAACACACTTGAACTTTTTTTTTTAATGACCTTCTTGGCTCCTAGGTCAACCCAGCTTTAAATGGATAGCAAGTATAAGTCCTGGGAAGTAAAGGCAGCTGGCTGGTATGATATTGACAACATTATCCACTGAGTGCTGATGGGTCTATAAAATATAGATCTAGCCCTATATGCCCAATAAGCCTGAATGTGCGGACAGGTCATGGGTTCAAATCCCAACACATTTTTTTTCAAACATGACCTTGTCTCCCAGGTCAACCCAGCTTTAAATGGGGAGCAGGTATGAGTTCTGGAAAGTAAAGGCGGCCGGCATTATACTGACCACATCACCCACTGAGTGCTGGTTGGTCTATAAAATATAAGTCTTGCCCTATATGCCCAATACGCCTGAAGGCAGGGACAAAGGGTGCTTTACCTCTAACTCTGAAACAGGATGCACTCAGAGACTACCGTTTTCCAAGTGTATCATAGGCGACGCAGTTCATCAGACGATCAGCACCCCAGCCAAGGCACGCTGAGTCACTTGATATGCTGTGATGTTATGCAGTCTTAAGGTGTCAGTGACTCCTTCAATCCATATTCTTCTCGGTCTTCCCTGCCTCTTAATGTTTCAATTTTCGTGTTGTACGCTCTTGCTGCTGGAATCGTTGGTTTCATTAAATGGCCAAACCATTTCATTTTTTTGTTTAATAAATTTGATGATGGGTGTTGTTTCAACAGTTCCTGTGATCAAGAAGACCTATGTTCATAAATGAGTCTGTACAAATGTGACTATATCATGCTGTTTTCTCCAGGACGGTATTGTTTTTTATGTAGGCCCAAACCGTGGCATCAATATCCCCCCACCCCCCTAAAAAAAACTTTTTTTTTAAGTATCAATGCAAGGCCTACGTTTAAAAAAAAACAATTGATAGTGTCCCGGCAAGAACAGTATGATATGGTCACCCTATGGAATGACTTTACTGGACTTTCCACCGGAGTCTGCAGCCGGAGAGTGCTAAGAAGAAGAACTATTATGCATTTGAATAATTAACTGCTAACAGAAACACCAAGCTGTTACCTGACTCTGCACTTAAATATGAGATGGTTGTCTGCGTCTCCAACAATTAGCAAGGACTGATGGATGCTGTGACTGCTGGGTCTCGTCTCCAGCAGGGCTCGGTTCAATAAACTGACACTCAACACCAGGACTGCCTTGTTGGGTTTGTAGCATTCCAGCTGTAGGAGATAAGCGAAAACCTGTTTCAACCTTGTCCAGGAGGTTGTGTGTGTGGAGAATGTCAAACTTGTCCAGGAGGTTGTCTGTGTGGAGAATGTCAAACTTGTCCAGGAGGTTGTCTGTGTGGAGAATGTCAAACTTGTCCAGGAGGTTGTGTGTGTGGAGAATGTCAAACTTGTCCAGGAGGTTGTCTGTGTGGAGAATGTCAAACTTGTCCAGGAGGTTGTCTGTGTGGAGAATGTCAAACTTGTCCAGGAGGTTGTCTGTGTGGAGAATGTCAAACTTGTCCAGGAGGTTGTCTGTGTGGAGAATGTCAAACTTGTCCAGGAGGTTGTCTGTGTGGAGAATGTCAAACTTGTCCAGGAGGTTGTGTGTGTGGAGAATGTCAAACTTGTCCAGGAGGTTGTCTGTGTGGAGAATGTCAAACTTGTCCAGGAGGTTGTGTGTGTGGAGAATATCAAACTTGTCCAGGAGGTTGTGTGTGTGGAGAATGTCAAACTTGTCCAGGAGGTTGTCTGTGTGGAGAATGTCAAACTTGTCCAGGAGGTTGTCTGTGTGGAGAATGTCAAACTTGTCCAGGAGGTTGTGTGTGTGGAGAATGTCAAACTTGTCCAGGAGGTTGTCTGTGTGGAGAATGTCAAACTTGTCCAGGAGGTTGTGTGTGTGGAGAATATCAAACTTGTCCAGGAGGTTGTGTGTGTGGAGAATGTCAAACTTGTCCAGGAGATTGTCTGTGTGGAGAATGTCAAACTTGCCCAGGAGGTTGTCTGTGTGGAGAATGTCAAATTTGTCCAGGAGGTTGTGTGTGTGGAGAATGTCAAACTTGTCCAGGAGGTTGTGTGTGTGGAGAATGTCAAACTTGTCCAGGAGGTTGTGTGTGTGGAGAATGTCAAACTTGTCCAGGAGGTTCTCTGTGTGGAGAATGTCAAACTTGTCCAGGAGGTTGTGTGTGTGGAGAATGTCAAACTTGTCCAGGAGGTTGTCTGTCTGGAGAATGTCAAACTTGTCCAGGAGGTTGTCTGTGCGGAGAATGTCAAACTTGTCCAGGAGGTTGTGTGTGTGGAGAATGTCAAACTTGTCCAGGAGGTTGTGTGTGTGCAGAATGTCAAACTTGTCCAGGAGGTTCTCTGTGTGGAGAATGTCAAACTTGTCCAGGAGGTTGTCTGTGTGGAGAATGGGGCCCTATTGGGGTGGGGGTGGGAAGAACAGAAGTAAGTAAAAGACAAGTAAATGACCCATTTCCATGCCTTTAGTTGTATAGCGCATATAGGGTAAGACCTATATTTTACAGACCAACTGGCACTCAGTGCCTTTACTTTCCAGGACTATCCCTGGTACCAACTCAAGGCTGGATCGAACTGGAAACCAAGATCATTTTGGAAAAAAAGTCTGTCATCATCAGGAACCGAATCCATAACCTTCCAATCCACAGGCGAGTGTCTAGTTGCTACATTACGGCGGATCACAAAGAACAGACTTATTATGTCACAAGAGGTGATACGACATACCAATTATTAGACATCATTGTAGGTAGACAACAAACCCAATGGTCTGGCCATGTAACAAGACTGGCATCAGACAGGACACCACTGACAGCAATATTATACAGACACAGTGGTAACAGAGCCAGAGGTCGACCACACAGATGTTGGACCGTAGAAATATCAGAGACACTGACAAGTACTTTATAGGAGTGAACAGAAGGGCCCGTTCAAGAGATCTCTTCCTGCCCTATTGCCGCAAGGTTTTTCCCAGGAGTAGAGAAAAGAAGAAAAAGATATGCCACACTTATAATTTCAATAAAGGCAAGACCATCAAGATGGAGACGTTACCTGCTCCACTCCCAGCTCATACTTTGGCAGAGATGAGATAGCCTCCTTGACCTGGTTGCCAAACGGTGGGTGTCTGTTGACAATCTGTAAGGGGTGAAACCAACATGGTGTCAGATAGTTAGTCCTAAGATAAGGTTCCAACAACACAGCCAATGGGTCGGCTCATAACCGCTCTGTTCTTGTGCCAGTGGAAATCACACACAATTTTCGCCACTGTCCCATTTGAAAAAAACTAGTGGAAAACCTGTCAGGCTCAGTAAAATCTTGAAGCTCACATTAGGCAGCTGTCAGATGTGCCAACACTAACAGTCTTTCACAAGAATTGCAGCTTACTGTTGATGTAAATAGTCAGTTTCGAAGTTAGTCGTCCACCCATCATCTGGTGGCCTAAAAACAACAACATGGTAATCTTTGTAATTTTATTTTCTTAACTGAGGTCAGTAGTTTACCTCCTTACCAGCTTGTCATTTCCCTCGTGGCAGGAAATGCAACATTATATGTGATGTGCTGTGAAGCACCTGCATGATCTGGCAGTTAACAAACAGAAAAGTTGGATAATGCAGCCTAGGTAGGCCTGTGCAGCACATATTTTGACTAATTCTCAAGGAAGATTCTATGGCATCAGTGTCTGTACTGTTTTCAGCTATTTCTGATTGCGTCTAGATATTTACTTGATGTGAAAATGAAGGTAGTCTATGTTGTGTGTTTGCTGTGACAATTCAGATTTTGGTCAGTACATTTAAGCATGCAGTTTTTTTTTCCTTTTTGGCAACTTCAAATTTTTCCAGACGATAGTATTCCACTGTGCTATAACTAAATATGAGATTCACAACCCATGGCAAAGGGGAGTGTGACTAGCAAGAAACAGCTTGGGTTAAGAAAAATCTTCACAGTTACTTCTGAAGATTATTTCAGAACTATTGTTGCTATAACATGTATTTGACAGATTCCTACTCTCAGATGCTTAACTCTTAGCCTGTCTGCAATCCTTTTCTCATGCGTGTCTTTTTTATATTTTAAAAAAAAATTATTTCTTCTTGTTTTCATGAACTTGCTTTAAAACCTGTATCCATTTTATTTCTAGACGTGCTTGGGTCAGCTGTGGACAAGGTTGCGACCTTTAAACTGTTGCTTAGCCAGAGTTCATGTAATAGCGCCGTGGGGTTTAAGATTATCACTCATGGTCGCATAAAATCATTATCATAATGTCATGTGTGGGTTCCGGGGCCCTCTTATAGGGAAATAAAAAATATACAAACTGCCTGCCCAAAAGAGTTAGATAATTGGGAGCTTCTTTCGAAGTCGAAGTGCATCTGCCTGAAAGACAAGGAACCAACAGCCTGCAAACAAATGAGTCATATCTGTCATGCAACACTAAGGTTCTGGAACAGGCCTGCAGTCCAAAAGTGGGCGAACAACGATAACTTTCCACCAGAGTTTAAAGCTGGTGAACACAAGGAAGAAGATTATCATAGTTGTTTATTATAAACACGGTATGTCAACATTCAGAGTTGGCTTGTGACATATGATACAGAGATGTTGTAGAAATGTCATTATTTGTATATTTGTCTTCTTCTTCTTCATTTATTTTTTTCGGGGAGGTGTCATAGTTAGCTGTGCACCTCACAGGGTCGGTGTGTCATATCTAGCTGTGCACCTCACAGGGTCGGTGTGTCATATCTAGCTGTGCACCTCACAGGGTCGGTGTGTCATATCTAGCTGTGCACCTCACAGGGTTGGTGTGTCATATCTAGTGTGCACCCCACAGGGTCGGTGTGTCATATCTAGCTGTGCACCTCACAGGTTCAGTGTGTCATATCTAGCTGTGCACCTCACAGGGTTGGTGTGTCATATCTAGCTGTGCACCTCACAGGGTCGGTGTGTCTGACTTTGGCATGCATCTGGGTCAGATTTACTTTCTACAGGTAGATACCATCCAAGGTAGCAAGCCATGCCCAGACATTCTGGGTTCAAACCTGGTAACTTCTGAACCTCAGATGGAGACTATAGGCTAGAAACTGCCCTACCTGAGTTGGTATATTACAAAAAATTTATATTTACATATATATATATAAAACAAGTTGTGTTGAGACTCAGGTCGGAAGATTTACCAGGTAAAGCACACGTGTTTAAAGGTGTTGTTACTCCAATAACATGTGACATTCATAAACTTAAGTTCAATCTCTCCAGTGACATTCATTTACTTACTGCTCCAATCTCTCCAATGACATGTTACATTCATGAATTTACAAGTTCAATCTCTCCAGTGGCATTCATGCACTTCTTCATCTGTCTAGTGTCATTCATGTACTTACAACTTTAGTTTTTCCAATGACAGGTGAAATTCATGTACCCATAACTTCAATATCTCCAATGACATCTGGCATTCATTTACTTACAACTTCATTCTCTCCAATGACATTTTTGTACTTACAACTTCAAACTCTCCAATGACATGTGACATTTATGTACTTACTACTTCAATCTCTCTGGGATTAGCTTCTTCCAATTTCTCAAATGAGGTCAGTCCAGAATTAGCAAGTGCAAGGGACATGGTTGGACCTAGGTTACACTCAGGTTTCACATTATAATCATTACATTTTAGTGTTTGTGAGAAGTACAAATGACTATAACAGGACAAAAGTTGGAATGGAATTAGTACTAAATCAAGAAACAAAAGATCAAATGGACAGGACTTTTGTCAAGACTTTCAGCAGACAGTGCTGAACCAGAGGCCGACCTCACAAGGGATGAACAGATGCAATTATTGAGGCTGTGAATAACAGCATCTTCACAGCATTACTATGTCTTTTATTATGCTGAAAGGTGAAACAGGACTAGAGAGTAATATTAACTATAGGAAGAAGTCAAAAACATTATATTGAAAGCTGAAGTAAATAAGCAGAGAGTATATTGGCAGACATGTATAACACTGATGTGGAACAACACATAAATATGTTGATCAATGGAAAATATAACAGCAGACAGTTACAGCATTGCTCTACATGGTAAACTCACTTTGAAACAACAATGTTACAGATATTAAGGTTGTTAGTTCCAGCTCTTTTCTTACACTCAAACTTTTGCTACTATTGGTTCCAGCTCTACTCTTACACTTAAACTTTTGCTGCTGTTGGTTTTAGCTCTATTCTTACACTCAAACTTTTGCCACTGTTGGTTCCAGCTCTATTCTTACACTCAAACTTTTGCCACTGTTGGTTCCAGCTCTGTTTCTACATGCAGACTTTTGCTACTGTTGGTTCCAGCTCTATTCTTACACTCAAACTTTTGCTACTGTTGGTTCCAGCTCTATTCTTACACTCAAACTTTTGCTACTGTTGGTTCCAGCTCTATTCTTACACTCAAACTTTTGCCACTGTTGGTTCCAGCTCTATTCTTACACTCAAACTTTTGCTACTGTTGGTTCCAGCTCTATTCTTACACTCAAACTTTTGCCACTGTTGGTTCCAGCTCTATTCTTACACTCAAACCTTTGCTACTGTTGGTTCCAGCTCTATTCTTACACTCAAACCTTTGCTACTGTTGGTTCCAGCTCTATTCTTACACTCAAACCTTTGCTACTGTTGGTTCCAGCTCTATTCTTACACTCAAACTTTTGCTACTGTTGGTTCCAGCTCTATTCTTACACTCAAACCTTTGCTACTGTTGGTTCCAGCTCTATTCTTACACTCAAACCTTTGCTACTGTTGGTTCCAGCTCTATTCTTACACTCAAACCTTTGCTACTGTTGGTTCCAGCTCTATTCTTACACTCAAACCTTTGCTACCATTTGGTGTCTGAATAATCATAAAATGCAGAAATAGGAAACATTCTGTAGAAAAAAAAATCAAATTAAAAACGAGGAATAAAAACAGTAATAATATTAATACTAAAAATAAAAATATAGTAACAATAGTTCCAATAGTGGTAATAATACTAATAACATTATTAATAATAATAAAAGGTAAGATAAAAATAAAAAGTAAAGAGTAATAATATTATTTAGATGAACACTGATACCCAGTAGGCACAGAAAAAACAATAAATAAGAGAAATGTGTGGTGATCACCAGAGCACGTTTTAGGGTGTTTGGAAATCTGTCGTTCCAGTATAAAGATGGTGGAGAAATCTGGTTCCCATATAGAACTGTAAATAGATCCTCATGCTAAATGCTTCTCTCTCATATTAATTTCTTGTAAATATTATAGTTAATAAATAAAATATACTTATTTTAAAATAAGGAGTTACTTTTCAATCACCCTGTAGACGTAACTTACAGCGGCATTTAGAACGTAAAGTTAACCCCACTGGCAATATCTCACCAATCCTTTTAACCAAACGGGCAATATCTCACTAGTCCCTTCAACCAAACGGGCAATATCT